TCTTCCCTCTTTTCTTTCTTCCTGAGATAAGATCTCAAGCTTCCAACTGGCTATATAGTTGAGGATGGACTTGAACTTTGAACTGTTATGGGATTACAGGTATAGACTACCTGTAATCCAGGTGTAGGCAGGATTATAGGTAGTCAGTTATGTGAGGGGGGGTCCAACCAGGCCATGGTACATGCTAGGCAAGTGACTGAACTATATCCCCAGTCCCTGTTCTTATTTTCATAGTAAGGAAACACAGACTTGTTCCAAGACATTTCACTGTTGGTTACGTATACAGGAATAAAATAAATCGGATAAAACAGAAAATCATTAGAAAAGGGAGGAGAATAGGTTAGATGAAAATTATTTTCATCCCCATTGCTTGCAAATTCTTAGATAAACAATGGCTCCAAGCTAAAAAAAAAAAATCAATCAGTTGTTCTACTAACAATCAGTAGGCAAAGTCTCGATGGGCTGCAGAGCCTGGAGGGAGTGGCCTATCCTATTGTGAAAGATGTGGAACACAGGAGTAATAAGATGGATCAGCAGGTAAAGGTGTTTGCTGTCAAGCTTGATAACTTTAGTCCTATCCCCGAGACTCACATGGTGAAAGGAAAGGACCAACTTTTATAAATTATTGTTGGACCTTCACATGCATGACCCCCACCACCCCCAAAATGTAAGTTTAGAAAGATATGGTGCACAGTTTTCAGGGCCTAGATTACTTGATTTTTTTTAAATGTTTATTTTTAAGAATTTTTTTTTTTTAATTTAAAATTCAGTGTGTATGTGTTTATCTCTGTGTGGGTATGTACATATGAGTGCAGTACCCTTGGAGGCCAGAAGAGGGTGTTGGATCCTCTGGAGCTGGAGTTACAGGCTGTTGTGAGCCACCCAAAGCAGGTGTTAAAAACTGAGTTTGGGTCCTTGGAAGAGGAGCACATACTCTTAAGCCTTGAGTCATCTCTCCAGTCCCTTAATATTTTCTATTAATTTTTTTCATATAATATATTCTGATCATGATTTCTCCTCCCCCAACTCCTCCCAGATCCTCCCTACCTCCCCGCCCACACAATTCCACACCCACTCTTTCTTCTTTCCTCCCTTCCTCCCTTTTCCCTTCCCCTCCTTTCTTTTCTCTCTAGAAAACAAAAATTCACACAAACGAGAATTTAAGAAAAGAAAAAAAAAACACAAGAAACACACACACACACACACACACACACACACACACACACACACACACACAGCCCATGAAAGTACAAAATTGGAATTCATAATATACAAGCAAAAGACTAGTAAGACACACAAAAAAAATGCCCCAACAAAGCAATATGGGACAAAAAGTCTAAAATTGAATTCATTTTTGTATTGGTCATCTACTGTTTGGCATGAGGCCTACCCTTAAATGTGGTTTATATACCTAGTGAGACTCTACTGGAGAGAATTTTTTCCTTTCCAAGCACAGACAGTTTCTTGGTTAGGGGTGGGAGCCCATACGGCTTGAATCTGTGCAGGCTGTATGTGTCCTGCCACAGTCTCTGTGACTTCATAGTGCGTCAGTCCTGTTGTGTTTGGAAGATGATACTGCTTCCTTGGAACCCTTCATCACCTCTGATTATTAACCAGTCTTTCTGCCTCCTGTTCCACATAGCTCCCTGAGCCCTGAGGGGAATGGATTGATGAAGACATCCCATTCACGACTAAGTGTTCCAAAGTCTCTCACTCTCTGCACATTGTCCAGTAGTGTGTTTCTGTATTAGCTCCCGTCTACTGCAGAGGAAGCTTCTCTGATGATGGTTGAGCTAGGCATTGATATGTGGCAATAGCAGAATGCCATTGAGAGTCATTTTACTGATATATTCCTTTAACAGAGTAGTATTTGGTTTTCCTGTAAGCCCATAGCCTAACCAGAGCAGTGTCAGGCGTGGGTTCCATCTCATGGAGTGGGCCTTAAATCCAATCAGATAGTGGTTGGTTTCTCCTACGTTTATGCCATTATTGTCCCAGCGTATCATGCAGGCAGGCGACCACCGTGGATTGAAGGGTTTGTAACTGGGTTGACAGTTACTTCTCTCATTCTGTAGCTTGCAGAGTACCTTCTGTGACTGTGAACATTAATCACTCGGGGTGAAGACTCCAGTTAGGCACCAGCAAGACTTCTCCATGTTCAGTGAAATATTTAGGTGTCGTCTTCAGCAACAAGGCCTTTCCATCAGTTTGTGAAGAGCAACCAATATCCTTGGCAATAGCCTGAGATTTGGGGGATTTTCACGGGGCCCTTTTGGCCAATGACTCAACTCGATGTTACTCATTCCTGGCACTGGGGGTTTCATGTGGTGGAGAAAGATGATTACTTAGGGTTTGTCTCCCTCCTTAGTTGGTGATTCCCTTTAGGTTTCTTTCATTTACGTATATATTTTAAGAAGCTTCTACAGTAGTAGGTTTCCATATGCTCCTCCAATGGCCCGTAGTGGTGTTTGTCCTCCCTGTCCTCCCCCTTTACTTCTGTCTCCTCTCTCTCTCTCTCTCTCTCTCTCTCTCTCTCTCTCTCTCTCTCTCTCTCTCTCCCTGTTTAATACTCCAGCTCCAGTCCCTCCCTATCTCTCCATAACTGTCTCTTCTATTTCCTCTTCGTTTGGAGATCTTCCCTTCCCCATAGTCCTTTACTCTCTATACCTAACCTCTGTGGTTATACAGCTTGTACATGCTTATCAAATGCTTAAAAACTAACATCCATGTGTAAGTGAAACATACAATATTTGTCTTTTTGGGTCTGAGTTACTCAGGATGATTTTTTTTTCTAGGTCCATCCATTTACCTTCAAATTTCCTCTTTTTTTTTCTTTTGTTTTTTTTGAGATAGGGTTTCTCTGTGTAGCCCCAGCTGTCCTGGAACTCACTCTGTAGCCCACGCTGGCCTCCAACTCAGAGATTCACCTGCCTCCACCTCCTGAGTGCTGGGATTAAAGGTGTGCACCACCACAGCCTGGATACAAATTTCATTTTTTAAACAGCTGAATAATATTCCATTGTGTAGACGTACCATATTTTCACTGTCTATTCATCTGTTAATGGACATCTAAGTTAATGGACATCTGCTGAATAGAGCAGCAGTGAATGTGGATGAGCAAATGTCTCTTCAGTGGGATGTTGAGTTCTTTGGGTAGATGCCCAAGAGTGGTAGAGCTGGATCTTGAGGTAGATCCTATTCCTAGCTTCCTGAGGAACTACCACACTGATTTTCAGAGTCAGCCCCTTACTTTTAAATTTTATTGTTGGTGTATGTGTATGTGTGTACATATGCATAATATGTGTGGGCACATGTGCTGCAGCATGTTTGTGGAGGCCAGAGGACAACTATCAGGCATTAGTACCCTCCTTCTATTTTGACTCCAAGGATTGAACACAGGTCATTGGGCATACTAAGTGGTTTTACCCAGCTCACTGACTCTGTTTACCTGTTTCTAGTTGGCAAAGTAATGTGTATATTTACGAGGTACAATGGTGGTTTAATATGTGTGTACATTGTAGAAAGATCCAGTCTAGCTAATTAACATAGCTAGCATCTCACTGCCCTGCCATTGGAGCCCCTGTTTCAATAGGAGTCCCAGGTCTCCTAATCCATACGCTGAATACAAATGATTTTTCTGCTTTATAAAAGTTTTATCCCAGAATTTCTTCTGGGACCCAAGGTTTAATTAAGAAATGGAAACAATGGATACTTTTCATAAAGTAATAATATGAACTTTTTTTCTAAATGTATTTTCACCTTTTAAATTAAGAATTTTATGCACACATACAAGGTTTTGATCAAATTCCCCCCATCCCCTCCTCTCCCACTCCTCCCTTATACTCACACGACTTTTCCCTTCCAACTTTATGTTCTCTCTCTCTCTCTCTCTCTCTCTCTCTCTCTCTCTCTCTCTCTCTCTCTCTCTCTCTCTCTCTCTCTCTCTCTCTCTCAAACCCACTGAGTTCACTCAGTGATACCTACACATGAATTCGGGTAGGACCATCCATTGGGAGTATGGCTAGCCTCTTTTTTTTTTTTTTTTAAAGATTTATTTACTTATTATGTATATAGCATGTATCCCTGCATGCCAGAAGAGGGCGCCAGATCTCATTAGGTGGTTGTGAGCCACCATGTGGTTGCTGGGAATTGAACTCAGGTCCTCTGAGCCATCTCTCCAGCTCCATGGCTGGCCTCTTAGGGCCCGAATTTCTAAAGAAAACTGACTGTCTTTCTCCCACCACCCATCAGTTGCTAATAGTTCATCAACTAGGGTCGCAACTTCCTGAGCCCCTCCCCCATCCATGCTGGGCTTTTCGTCTAACGTGATCTTGTACAGGCTTGTATTTGTAGTCACAATTGCTGTAAGTTCCTGGGTGCAACGGCCTGTCCTATCCAGCAAATAGTGTTTCACTGCAGACACCAACTCCTTCTGTCTTTTCCAGTCTTTGTGCCCCTTCATCCTTGATGATCCCTGAGCCTATATAGTGGACGATGACCTTGAACGTCTTATCTTCCCACTGCCCTCTCGATATCTTTCTACCTCCCCCATCCAAGTGCTGGGATAACAGGTGTGTGCCACCACCACACCTGTATGAGTTGCAGTAGGACTCAAACTTAGGGTCTCATGCTGGCCAGTCAAGTACCCTCTCCACTGAGCCATGTGACCAGCGTGCTTTTCCCCATTTCCACTTCTTTATTAAACATACGTATTTTTTTTTCCACATGAAGTTTCTGATACACCCATAGCCCTCTCAGGCCTTTACCCAGTAGTAAAACTTGATGAGATTTAATAACTGTGACTCTCCTTTCTAATCTGCAGTGGGGATTCCCGTGGCTGTCCTTGAAGGGACGACTTGATTTCTGGGCATATAACAACGGCCCCTGGGATGAGTCTTGTCACTGGGACACGATTCTGTTTCTTCTGGGCTGTTTTATCTCAAGACTAGGGTTCTCCCTGCAAGATGTTTAATAAGTTCCTTGTGTTTTTCCGATTTTAGGTTACCACACTTGTAAATTGTCCGCAGAATCCTTCCAACAGGAAAAAGGGACGTTCAAAGAGAGCCAAAGTTCTCCTGGCTTCTGTGGAGGAAGCAACTTGGAATCTGTTAGACAAGGGGGAGAAGATCGCCAAGGAAGCGGCAGTTTTAAAGGAGGAGCTCACAGCTGCGCTCCAGGAAGTTCGCAAAGAGAGTGAGTATCCAGGTCCCAGTCAGGAGCATACCGCATATCCCGAGGGCGTCGGTTATGCAGTAGATGTTGGGAGTGATTTGTTTTGCAGACTTCAGTTTATTAGTCTTGCACACAGCTGCGAAGAGCAAGCTGTGGGAGGCAGAGTGGCTCATTAGGCAGCTCCAAGGTGGAGTCCCAGGCCTGGCTCTTCTCTGCTTATGGAGTCTCTGTGTACAGCTCCCCACCTCCAACCATACGGCATGCAGCTCCTCCATAATAAACAGAGAGGTTTAATGAAGTGGAAGATGACCCCGCCCATACACAGTGAATTATCAAGTTCTTTATGAACAGTCGGGAGGCATTTCCTCTCTGATGGGCTCAGAAATACGTTTTTCTACTTTGCAGTGTTTGGAAGCTTAGGTTTATCAAGCCTTTTTTTTTTTTTTTTTTTTTTGCTAAAGCTTTGTATAAACCACACATAATCCGTGCTGTGCTTTGCTCATATTATATAATAAAAGCATATATTCTGACTTTTGATATTTTTTACTATGATAACACAACAATCAACTTTCCCCCTTGAAGATTACAAGTCTCATCTGCAGGATATTTAAAACAAGATTTAAAAGATTTAATTTGTGCCCATGGGGGGTGCATTTGTTCAATTGTTCTTGTCTGTGCAGGCATATGTGAAGTTCAGAGGTGGATGGATGCTGGAGTGTCTTTCTCTTGCTTTTCTGTTCAGTCTGTCTATCTATCTATCATCTATCAATCATCTATCTATCTATTTATCATCTATCTGTCTGTCTGTCTATCTACCTACCTCTCTATGTATCAATCATCTATTTATTTATTTAGAGACAGGGTCTCTCACTGAACTGGACCTTGCCGTTTTGACTGACTGCCTATCAAGCCCATGGGAACTGCGTGTCTCAGTGCCTTCCAGTGCTCGGGTTAAAGATATGCACTGCCACACCCAGGGTGTTTTTTCCCCTTTTCACATGGGTGCTAGGGATCTGAACAGGTCCTCATGCTTGCTCAGGAACCACTATATCCATGGATCTATCTCCTAGTCCTACAAGATATCTTTAAAAGGACTATTCGATGATTTTATGCTTATCACCTCGCTGCAACTCTTTTGGGAGGGAAAACAAAGTTGAACGTTCTTGTTCAGCTTCATTAAAAAATGTCTAAGTTGTTTAAATAATTTTTCTCCCCTATACCCTAGTACCACTTTAAGAAAATCAGAAAGAACCAGGTAAGGTGGTACTGTGATTTCAGTACTCAGGAGGCTGTGGTCGAAGGATGAGAAGTTCTCGGCCAGCTTGAGCTACCTCATGGACACCCTGTGTGTGTGTGTGTGTGTGTGTGTGTGTGTGTGTGTGTGTGTGTGTGTGTGTGTATGTATGTATGTGTATGACAGTATTTCCTAATCAAAATAAACATACTGACCACAGTCAACTTTAGGCCAAATACAGGATACAGGGGATTACGCTTAGCTTTGTAATTTTTTTGTTTCAAAGCTCTTGGTCCGTTGTGTAGATTTGAGGTGCACAGCATAGTGTTACGGGATTCATGTCACAAAATGGTTTCTACAGTGGAGTACATGGCACAGCTCTCCCCTTACACACTTCCCTCCCACCCTTTGGTGACGAAACAGCTGAACACACTGGTTCCTGAAGGTTTCTTCCTGGGAGTTACTGCAGCCTTAGCGTACATTAGAGCTCCAGTTCGACTCCGCGCCCTTTTGACACCTTCACTACTTTGCCCCTCTCCCCATCTCCTCACTGCCCTCATCTTCTTACCCTGTCCTAGTAATCACTATATTCGAGTTTTTGCTCCTTTTTCCTTTTAAAATTATTATTTTATTAATAATTATTGTATTATTATTAATAATAATAATACAATAATACCTCTAACTCAGGTGCTGGTTTGCTGGACAACCCATCTTCACCTGCTGAGCCACCGCACTGGAACTCTCTCTGAGTCTGGCTTATTTCACTTAGCACAACATCCTCCATTTTTAGGTTGTGGCAAATGGTGGAGCCTCTTCTGTTAAAACACAGATTAATTGAAGTCATGTTATATATCTCAGTTTCTTTATCCACCCATCTATCAGTAAAAAGGAAATTCTCAGAGAGGTCAGGATTCTAGGATTATTCAGTAAATGATTCACAGTTTTCTATTATAACATGAAATATGCATATATGTATATATATATATATATACATATATGCATGTCATATGTGGTGCACACAGCAGATACACTTGTTGAAGTGCTTTACTCTAATTCTTTTGACAAATGGAAGGGAACCACTACCACTTTAGTGTGGGAGGAAAGCGTGGAAGTAGCACATGTTTCTGGAATCCAGGGAATGTCTACTGTATGGAAAGCAGAGAGCCACAGTGAGAACATTGTGCCCCCAGCTTGGAAGGAATGCTAGCTCGGTGGTGGAGCTGGAACAACAGAAGAATGGATTCTGATCTAACTGACTTTGGGTGATGCTGGAAACATATTTAAAATAGTCTCTGCCCTCTTTTATTAATTGGCCTTTGTCTAGTGGCATGTGAAGGTCTAGTGGAAAGCAACTAGTGAGTGTGAGGTATTTGGAAAAGTGAAGAAAGCATTGGAAGTAGAGGGTGGTTTTATTGATATAGTCATTGACTAATTTTCAAGAAGGCTTTGGACAGTCGCTCATACAGTTCTAGAACAGCTTTAGCCTCCTTGTGAGAGCCTGCCCTCTCTTTTACTGCTTCCAGTGGCTTTACTCATGAGTCGAAAGTGATAAAAAATGAGACCATTTGTGTTCCCCAAAGACCATGCCTGCAGAAGGTGGGACATGGATAGAGCAAGGAGTAGATAATAAAAGGAAAGGTAATACACAGAGGACAGAGATCCAGCAAAAGGGTCCATGCTATAGAGACTGCTTACAGTTACTCGTGATCCTACAGTTCACCATGTACTAGTCCACCTGGATACAAGCAAGGAATTAAATCTGGAATTTTATTCCAATAGCTTTAATTACTTACAAAATTACGTAGATATTAGCTAAGAACTACTTACATGTGTAGATTACATGTTTTACCCCTTTGTTTACGTGTACACTCCCTTCAACTAGCCACTGCTTCCCTACAATCTGCAGATCTCACTTCTAAGCCATACACATAAATGTTACTTAGTGATGTGTTGAGGAATAACATATATTCGTAAAGGTACATATCTTATTGTGACCTCCTCAATATCTTTGCACATACTGCACTCACATTCATGTAACCTGCATGCAGATCAAGAACTAAAACATTACCAAGGGCTGGGGGTCGGTGGCACATGCCTTTAATACCAGCACTCAGGGGCAGAGGCAGAGAGGCAGAGGCAGGTGGATTTCTGTAAGTTTGAGGCCAGCCTGGGCTACACTGTGAATTCTGGGCCAGTCAAGCCTACATAGTTTCCTGTCTCCAAACAAACAAACAAATGAATGAACAAAGTTCAGTGCTTGAGAGGTAAGGAATCTCTTACAGAGGACCCAGGTTCAAATCCTAGTACCAATGTGGCAGCTCACAACCACCTGTTACTACACTTTGAGGGGATTTGCGCCTTCTTCTGTCCTCTGTTAGTACTTTATTCATGTGGTGCATGCACACATACAGACACACACATACACATAAATATATAAAAAGGACATCCAAGAGCAAAACAACAGTAACAAAAAAAACCAAAGGAACATTACTAAAATCCTAGAAGCAGCCTTGTGCCTCAATCAGTTACCACTCTCACCTCACAGGTAACCAATATCCCAACTTCTACCACTACAGGTTACTTTAGCCTTTTAAAAAAAATCTTATATAAATGGGACTATGTAGCATGTTAAATTTAAGTTTGGCTTCTTTTGCTCAATATATCACTCAATATATCTTTGAGAGCTCATCATATGGTAGGTTATTTTTTCCACTGGTGAATAGAAAATAATTTACTTTTCCATTCTATTGCTGATGGACATTTGAATTGTTTCAGCTTTTGGTTTAATGAATATTATTGGTATGTATGTATATGTACATTAATTTTGGTTCATAAATGTAAACATTTGTGTTTACTCCTAGGAAGGAATCATGAACATATGGTTAGCTTTAGCAGATACTGCTTTTTTTTTTCCTTTTTTGGGATTTTTGAGACAGGGTTTCTCTGTGTAACAGCCCTGGCTGCCCGGTGATACTGCTAATTTTTGAAATAGGTTTTTGTATTGATGTTTCTTATGAACTCTGTACAGGAGCTCCATCTGCCCTGCATTCTGACTATCAGTGATCTTAATGAAATGTTTGCAGGTGTATTCTAGTACAGTTTTAACTTACATTTCTCTGACAACTTTTTATATGTTCTAGTATGAGTCGTTTGCTAATTGTCAAAAACTAAAATGTCTCCTCCTTTCCACTATATTAAACATTTTTTGGTATTTTTAATGTTTTTAATTTTAGTGAATCAAACCTTTTGGCTTGCCCCTTTATGTGTAGAATTTTTTTTTGTGTCTGTCAAAGGTTGTTTAAGATTACTATAAACTGGAGAAGACGCTCTCTAAAGTCACCATTTAGAGCATATTTACAACAACTGCCTTAGGTCCTTGTTATTTTAACTATGATATCTGACTCATCTGGATTCTTTTTCTACTGACTGATTTTGCTTTATGTCAGAGTAACACCTTCTTTTGTCTGTGTGAATAGCGGTTTTGATTGTACATACCTGGTAGTAAGTATGCCGAGTCAACTGTAGATTCCGTATTCTCTTCTCTTCCCCTAAAGACCGTTAAGTTTTGCTTCAGCAAATGATTGGTAACTAAGCTGTCACCAGAGGGTTTACCCAACCTTTATAAAAGGTTAAGTCTGTTTAATTTTCCCTTCAGTCTTACAAAGGACTCTTAGTCTTTGGGATATAGTCTTTAGTTTCATAGTACAGGCTTTGTGGCATTTCAAAGGATTATTTGATGTGTTGACCAAACCTATTTGGCATAGAGGCTTCTGTTCCCAAAAAAGAG